ACACACAGGGACCATGGGGAACAAAAGTAGCCCCCCTCCAGTAGGAAGGACAGTGTCAGCACCAATTCAGAGATGATTTGAGGATCTACAGCCGAGTGAGACACAAATAAGATATATTTTAGTTAATAATTGGGGTACCTGAATGTATTTTTAAGATTTAACTCCTGAGTTCAGTGTCGCTTTCAACTCAAAAATGAAAAATGTAATATGTTGCATTTTATCAGTGCTTAGATGCGGTGGATGCATTCGTTTTATTTCCCAAGGCTTTTTCCCCGCTTTATAACCACCCGGTAATCCTGCCAATAACACACTTATTGTCTATGTGTGACAACGCTCACTCATTGTAACTACGGAGGAGCAGTGTTGTCACCCTGGGAAAGAAAGTGTGTAAGGACTACAGAACCTCTCCCCCTCTCCATAACATGGGGGTGGGGTGCTCAGTAGTCCACAGCAGAGAACTGGTAGCAGCTGAAATTTCAGTTCAGTGCGCAGGAAGTGGCAGGATCAACAGGTATTTTTCTGTACTTGCTGAAATTGTTCCTGGACTACAAAAAGGAAACTAATGCAACCAAGACGTCTAAGGACTGGTAAGCTGCAATATGTTATATTTTTGTTTTGTGTTTAGATATGCTTTAAGGAAAAAAAAAATCCATTTCACTTTGAATACAGTTACAATTCACTAAACTGGCCAAAAAAAATCTCCGTACTGCAACCTTGGAAAAGGTTCTCTACGTAAGATCGCCCCCATAAATTTGCATCCATCTAATCATCCAATCAACTCACTGCTCTTCCCAGAATTCTACACAGATCATTAAGTCAGATAACAGGCATCCTCTGCAATAGACGGTTGTATCTTTGGCAGGATGCGATCAAAAACCCCGCCACATGTAAAGGGATGGTAAAGCTGCCCCTTATTACAACACTGAGATTGGTCAGGTGGTTAAAGTCAGACTCTCCCACTAAGGCCCCGTTCACATATAGCGACTTGTCGCGCGATTTCCGCCGCGATATCGCGAGAAGTCGCCGGCCAATGCTATTCAATGGAGCGGTCTTAACTCCATGTCGCGCGTTGCGGTCGCAAGTCGCTTCTACCGGACCCTTTTTTCAGCGAACTTTGCGCGATTTTGCTTTTTTTCTATGGAGCCCGACGGAGAAGGTCGCGCTACCGTCGCTGGATCGTCGCTGGAACTTCGCCCCGAAAGTCGCGCTATCCCGGCCGCTGCAAAAGGTATGTCGCTACATGTGAACGGGGTCTTAGCAATCAGTTGTACAAAGTGCCGGCATAAAAATCTCCAGAACAGAAGCAGGAAAGATTTGCAAAGAAGTTTGTTAAAATCCTGGAGAGCATTTTCTCTTTCTCCAAACCGGAGTTTTATTTGAAGGTGACTACGGTGACACGATGACTTTTTTTTTAGAGAAATGGAAATTTTAAAACCGAAACGAAACCGAAATTAAAAAAAAATGTCAGGCCGAAACAGAAACCGATACCGAAAATGTTTTTAATTTTTTCAATTTTTTAAAATATTTAATTTTTTATAAACTTTTAATTTTTTTATATTTATTTTTATTTACATACCATGTCCTCAATTATGTACACACACTCAGCAATCACTGATCGCTGAGTGTGTGTACATTGCTTTTCTCTCTGACACGCTGTCACAGGAGGCTGATCGAGCGGTGTAGAGAGGAAAGCCCAGCCTCCTGTGACAGCGCTGTCTCCGTCCCCACACCGCTCTGCCGGACTGTGATAGGCGGCTGAGCGGTGTGGGAGGAGAGACACCGGCCGTCTGCGCCGATATATCGGTGCATCCCTTTTTTTGGCTGGTCAAAGTCAGCCTGAATGACAACTGTACATCTGTTGCCAGTACTGGCTGCAAACTAATAAGTAGGGCTACAGCTAATTATTATTTTCATCATCGATTGGCCGATTACTTTCTCGATTAATCAGATAAAAAAAATTAAATAAATACCATCATTAGTTTAAAATAAAATACACAAATGCCGTGTTACAAACAAAGTTCACTTCAGGATAAAACTGCATGTACAATTTTTTGCAATCGCACTGCACTGGTACGCACGGCATTGCGCTATCCCGCGTTTCAGTGCGGGGGATCACTCTGTGGGAGGAATGTTTGGGGTGCCATTGAAATTAATGCCACTGCAACGCACCTCCCGCGACAGAATATGTCAGGCTGAAACTGAAAATTACTTTTTTTCCCCCTTTTGTCATTTAAAAAAAAAAATTGTATTGTAAGCACATGTCGCTTGAATAGCTTCTGCCAGGGAATGACAACTGCCAGTGGCAAGATTCCGCAGACGGCAGGTGAATGTAAATATAACAGGTAGTGGGCGGGTGCAATAGCCAACCTGCTATTGGCCATTTCAAATTGCAATAGCCAATAGCAGGCTGGCTATTGCACCCGTTCGCTGTTTGCTGTGCCCTCTTCCCAGCGTGGAGGAGGGAGGTAGGGGATCCAACCAACTAATCAATAATGAGAATAGTTGACAACTATTCTCATAACCGATTAGTTGGTTGCAAACCTACTAATAAACTGTATAGCAGACAATATAGGGTACCTGCTCTTACCCTCACTGATCCCCCACTGCCCGGACCTGATGCAGAAACTGCTTGGAAATATTTGTAAATACCATTTTTCTATAAGGTCAGTAAGCACGCGTATATGCGCGTGAATATGCAGAAATACGCTGCCTGGGCGCATCTCTGTTCCATTCTGTTTTTGTGCATATATACGGCTCCATACGCGGCTGTGTGTATGGAGCCATTTATTTGCATATGTTGCATATGGTACAATACGCACGTACGCGCGTCACCTAATATTACCAAATCTAATTCTTTATCTCTCACCTGTCCACTATGCAGCCATAACCTCGTTCTATGCATATATCAGTAGTGCAGCACATGTACGCCCTCTGGTGGACGTATACGTTACTTCTAATAGCAGCTTGCAATGGAAGCACAAAATGTGTTTGGTGGAAAGAGTATTGACAAATATCAATTTGATCATTTTATCAGGAGCTATAAATAGGGATGCACCGATACCATGTACAGTACTCGCTAGAAGTACAAGTACAGCTACTTCTCGAGCTCCAAGACTAGACTAGAGAAAAATTGAAATGTTAGGAGGCAGCTGTCATTTGTAAGGAGCACACAGAGCTCCTGGGATTTGTACATCTCTGTTATAATGTATGATTTTGTTTTTATAAACATATAAAAGGATGCACTGATACCATTTTTGCAAGTACAAGTACTGATACTTGTCCAAGTCGTCACAGATAGAAGTACTGATACATTTCTGTTTATTGTCATGTGACAGTTTTTCTAAAACAATACAGGACTAATGATTTCAGAATGGTGGTGGAGCGCCAGAGCCAGGTCCCAGCTGCAACCGCTGCAACCCTAGTAGTTCTCATGAAAATGCCAAGTATCGGCACTGGTATCGGTGTATCCCTAGCTATAAATATCACGAGAAATTAGGCATTTTGCAGTTTATTAAGGAAATCTAGCTGAAATACTTGTACCTACCAAATTTTGCATAATTTAGAAGCTTCTCAAAATCTGCTCTAGAATATTATTCCCAGTTTTAACATTGGTGACTTCATTAGGTAGTATATGTGAATGCCAATCAATAACAAGAGGACAGACAGGCACTACCATGCACTATCATGCAGACCTATATGTCTTCAAACTAGCCAAGCTATAACCTAAAATGTATCTGATTAGAAAGAGCTCATGAAGCCATCTCTGTCACAGGTTGAGCAGAAAGAAAGAAGACATCAACTGTCTCACTGATAAGCAGTTGAAACTTCTTCAATCCCTCCATTCAAATAGCTAAACAATCTGAATGTCTATCTACCTGATCTATGGCTTTTATGTATAATGATAGACCTTGCGGGAAGTAGACTTCCTAGCTTTTAGCATAGGAATCACAGAGATATCCCTGCCCCTCAAAACTTGGGCTTCAACAGCTAAGCCATTAAAGACAGCAATGCTAAAAGCTAGGAAGTCTTCTTCTCGCAAGGTCTAGACCTCTGGTGGATCAAATATTGAAGTTGCACGTGGCTCTTTGCAAGCAGGAGCAGTAGAAGGAGATGCTTCCTTAACGCTGTACAGTAGGATACAGAGCATGGAGCGAATGCGGCCCTCCATTTAACCCCCTTTCCACAGCAAAAACAGTTGGAACTGGGAAATAAAGGTGCCCAGAGACCTAAGTATTTCAGGTACCTTCCCAGTGGTCGGGCCAACCAACTTATTCACTAAGTAAGTCTTTAGAGACAGGGCAAGTGCCAGCAACTCTTGACCTGGAAAGCGCTCTGCAACTAACTTTTCCACGAAGGGCTTTTGGAATGTGCCCTAAATGACTCTAAGTGCCCAAAGCTCACTTCCATGAGCTGTCAGCCAGGCAGAGGACAACTGCACAGGAAATCTGCAAACAAAGAGACAAGCTCTAGCTAGCTGAAGAAAAAAAAAATGAAGAAGAGGGAACAAAATGCGCTAGCAAAAATTTAGGTTAGACTTTTACAAAGTAGTACTACAGAAAACACATCCATCCTTCTAGGACACTAGCAAAAAACCCAGGCATGCTGGTAGTAGGAAGGGTTATCCTGGGCTGGCCAACAGTTTTTCTGTTTGCCAGTGTCCAATCCTCCTGTAGGCAGCAGTAGAAACCAAAGGCTAAAGTCTTCCTGTATTCCTCAATGGACAAGAAATAAAATGAGTTCATTTTGCTTTAGATATATTGAAAAATTGCCTACTAGACATGTTTAGGCAAGTGCTGACATTGCATTGCTGAGGTTTTATTATCAGACAGGTGGGGTAAAGGGGAGTCCTCAACTCTTACTGGAGGTGGGATGTAAGATGTCAGGCAAACGGCACAAAAAGAGACAACAGTCATAAATCTAAATATGGCTAACTGCTATGAGTATAGTTTAAGAAACATACAAAAGCATTCTCCCTTACACCAAACTGAGTTATGTCATACCTGTTTCCAACTTGCCAAAACCAAAATAGCTGAGCAGCTTAAGAAGCAGCTTCTCCTCTATCTGAACTGTAAACTTTTGGGCTGTGATCAGAAGGTGCTAAAAAGAAAAGATGAGAAAATTGTTTTCCAGTGTCACTTTGTCCTTCACTTTAAAGTTCTACTACAAAATACATTTAGGCCTGGTTCACACCTGGGCGTTTTACAGCGCGTTCCTACGCTATGTAAAACGCTCAACATGTGAAAACCAATGATTGCCTATGGGCATGGTTCCCACCTGGGCATTTTACAGCGCGTAGGAACGTGCTGCAAAACGCCCTACGCCCAAAAGAAGTACGGGAGCTTCTTTGGGGTGTATTTGCCACGCGTATCCATTGGGATACAGCCAGATAGCCCTTGGAAACGCGCGTTTTTTTAACAGCGAATCGCGGTAAAAACGCGCGGCACAAAATCGCATATTCGATACGCCTAGGTGTGAAACCAGCCTTAGAGGAAATTATCAAAACTGGAGCAGCTGTGTATGGCAACCAATCAGCATCTAACTTTCATTTTCAGATATTAACAGAACAAACTGAAGAGAGAAGCTGATAGGTTACTATGGACAACTGCTCCAGATTCTGTCTGCTCCAGGTTTGATCAATTTGATTTGTGGGACATTGGGTGGGGGGGGACATGGCAGAGCTTCAAGCCAGTGTTAAAGTGAAGGTGTCAGTATGTGATGTGCCCAGGTTAAGGTAACTCTGTGGATGACAATTTGATGTTTAATAATGGAACTCTAGGACACTGTGGTGCCTGCTCTTGGGGATGTATTGGTTTAGAAATTCTGGCATACCTCATACTGTAAACTAGAAGGGTTTGCTTCTATGGGCTCCAGTGGCAACTGAGAGAGCAAAATTTGAATTAGGCACTGGCACTTTAATATGGTGGAGCATTAGCCAACAGAAGGGAATGCACTAAGTAGCCCACAAGGAGTGTGGGTATAAGGGCACAAGCATGATGCCATTGTTACAGATATCATGACAAGTGTTATGTTGTCATAGTGCAGCTGAATGGCACAAATGGCATTCCTAGGCCAGCCTAGCACTGTATGGGTAGACCAGTCTGTATTTATTGTTTTTCTACATAATCTATTCTAAGCCACGCTGAGGATTGAAGATGTAAAAAAAAAGCATTTCAACAGAATGTTCAAGGGGAGACAGAATGTAGGATCATGACACTTTAGCCTGCAATGGTACATACTACATAAAACATGTTACCTTGTACAGATCAGAGAGGGCGTTTTTACTGGGAACCTTCATTGCATTGACCTGTATCGCTGGGCCTGAGTCCATCTCTGAACTGTCAATGGTCTTTGGTGTGACGTAGAGCATGGCGGGCTGGGTAGTGCCAATTAGCTGGTTATCAGCCTAATACATAGAAAGAAATGCATAGAATTAATTTGAATGACAACACAGAAGCAGTCTTGCCATGGTCATTTAAAGGGAATATATTGTTCTTCTCTAGATATTTATTTGTAAAAGTGACAAAGTATTACAAACAGTATTTTTACCATGATATAAAGTGAACATGTAAGGAAACATAATGGTGCTGCCATTGATTAACGTAGTTCACGCTGCAGGGTTATCATTCTGATATCACTATCTAGTGCCTTCCTGCCCAAACTATGGTCTTTTGGCACTTACTGACCAGCCATTGGGGCACCTGGAGCAGGCATCTGTGTTTCTGTGTGTACCCAAGCAAGTGAAGGAAAAATATGCTTTAGACTGGCTTCTAGTAGTTAAATAGTTTGTTTTTTTCTTACTAAGATCTGTTAAGAACTGACCTCGCTGAGAGAAATATCAAATGTGATCCAAGTTATTATTAGGAGGCTGCTGGAGCACAACTGTGGACATTTTGATACGTCAAGGGTCTCTATTAGTCTCATGCAATCTGTCTATTCTTGTCTCCTGAAGTATCACCCCAGTATTCAACAACTCTTCTCTGACCATGTCTACAGTCTCCGACAACCACTTCTAGAATGCTCGCAGTCTTTGACAATCTCCTGTTGCAGGTCTGCAGTCTCCCTATATTAGGTAAGTTGACCACCACTGTTCTAGTGAGTCACTGACGTGTAACAAGCATGCAGCCAGTTAAGTCTGAAAATTCTGAATTTCTGGTTGGTCTTGAACACAAATAAAAATTGGAGGGTGACTTAAATGTTATATGTGAGTGTATATATATATATATATATATATATATATATATATATTTTATAATATAATATATATGAAAAAAGAGGAAGGATACAGCAAACAAATAATTTTGGGACACGTCATATTTACAAAAGATTACAAAGTAACTGAATTATCTAGCTGTATTTTGAGAACTATTGAATATTATGATGTAAAAAATATAATAAAGATGCATGAAAACTGTACCTGAACATTTTGAATATTGAGCTCCAGCACCTGGTTGGCAGCCAGATGTGTGTAGTGGACATCAATGCCCATGAGGCTTGCAAACACGAGCTCTTCTGGAACTTTATTTATCAGTGAGATGCCTATTCCTTCCTGTAACTTCACCATAATCTGCAAAAAAAGATGAATAATAATGTCACTTCAGTTCAGCTGCAAGAGTATATATAAAGCATGTATTTCCTGCTAGGCTGTGTCTCAAGGAGCACCTCCAGCTCTTGGTCTGCATCCAGACTCTTGAATTTTCTCAGCTCCAACTGAGCCAGTTCATCCATTTCGATGGAAAGATTGTTTCTGCGCTGGCTGACGTCCGTTATCTGGAAAGCAAATTCAGACATCTGTTATTAATATGGACTTATGTAAAAGAGAAGGTCTGCCATTACTATAAAAACAGTTAATGTGCACCAAAGAACAAAAGTATCATACACTGCAGCCTACTAGTCCTTACATGCGATGGCTGTATTCATTTGTTTTCAGGCTTCAAAGCTTTGATTTAGTCATCACAATAATGACTGTGGCATGCCAACAGTACATGTCTAAATGGGAAGTTCACCCAAACCTATGTATCTTATATTCAGCATATATTGGTCCATTCATTGCATCTGAACACACAGATCTACCTGTAAGACTCTTGTGGGCCCATCTGGAATAACTCTGACAGACAGAACACCAGATCCTGGCCTCATCTTCTGGTTTATAAACTGCTGCTCTTTAGGCACTGGGCCCACCAATTCTAGAGAGGCGTCAGGTCCAAGCACCACCTCAGCTGCATCAAAGAATCCTGACACCCCATTTCGAGCCTGAAATTGACACAAGAATAATAAAATAACACAATACATAAAAATATTGAACCAATGATGCCAACTGACAACAGCAATACAGCAAGACAAATTGTTACTTCATCCAGTTTAAGAGTTTATAAAAAGGGCCCAACTTGTCTAAAGATCATTGAGTCAAGAGGTCAGAGAAATCAGTGGGGTTGTCCTTGTTTGAAACTCTAGCCATCACCAGTGTTAAGGCTGCCAAGCAGCTCCAAGACTGCCAGAGTTTGAAACGTTTCGAGTTGTGTGATGCAATACAGCCTGGGCTTAAAATCGATTGCTTCTCAAAGACTGTGCTACATATACATTCCCAACGATTCCTCACATTTATAGTAATAGATAACAACCACAGATTATTGTTTCAGGTATTCATTGATCAAAATGTTTGGTTCAGGAAGCAATCTTTCCCCCACTGGGGCACACAGATTTCTGAATTCCTATCTTCCTTTAAATTGTGTCAGATGTAGGAGTCGCATTGAGATTTTTTTTTCGACTAGGACCAACCAACTATGTAACAATTTGTTGCATATATGACTTTCCAGCAGTTACCATAATTGTACACACATGACCATCTGTAGGGAGGATTGATGGTGGACTGACCTGGACAACTAATTCGGGTAAACTGCAGCTAAGCTTTCCATCCCGAAAGCACCATGTCTGTGTGGTACTCCGCCTCCGATCTGGCTTTCTCAACATCAGTGGTTCATACCTAGCAAATTAATAATAGCATTAATAATGAAAAAACAGAACAAAACAACCTGAGTGACTTAAGATTTTCTATGTGGAAGAAACATAGGGACAGAGTCATAAACTCCCCATTTTTCCCTAGCTATGCTGCTTAAATTGACAAGTTTAGTTTTCCATTTTTTTTAAATTAAAGTTAAACTCCAGCAAACAGCTAAATGCATACATGGGAACTTCTGCATCTCTGCCTCGGAAGAGGTAGCACACCCAGGTTGGTGACCTGATTTTTTGCTACTGCACTCTCGGTCCCCAGGCTGTGATTGGATTGTGAAGGAACAGCAACAGACTGACAAGGTCATCTCTTTGCTGTTTCCTCCTCTCAGCATGTGCCTTGTCAGCACATATGAATCTATGACACCTGATTGGCCCCAAGTACAGCAAATATAAAAATGTCTTGATGGCTAGATGTCAGTCTGGAGGCCTGGGCATTCCTAGTCAGGCTGCATTTGCATCCAGACTGGCCTAGGTAACACTTACATGTGTTGTTGAGGCGCCATGATTGAAAGAACTGAAATCCAAGGAATGAAAGGGGCAGGCCAGGGACAGTAAAACTGGGGAGGAAAGATTACATGATACTGGATGTCCTCCAGCCAGGAAATGACAGGCCCAATCTGACTTGCTGCAGCTTCTAATGCACATTGTGAGAAGCTCAAAGTGTGCAGTGAAATCAGAGGAAGCAATTTGAGTACAGACAAAGTGCCGGTATAAATGTGCAAGACTGAAGGTAAGGTCAGAGTTCAGCTTTAAAATCTGCTTGCAGTCAGCTTTAAGCTCTGAAATGAAAAAGAGTAAGTAAGGGGGAAGGAGCAATTATTGGCTTCCTACATCGTGAGACCAGGAACAGTTGCCATTTCTGTACTCGCTGTGATCTGTAATCCTTTCCACTTCCTAAACTGACCAGCTCTGCCTCTGCTATAAAGAAGAACTTCAACAAATGGGTAAAAGGTTTGTTTGCAATAAAATAGGTCAAAGTAAATAGTGGTGCCATGGCTTGCACTATAAATTTTGGAGCTGATGGGGACCATCACTATACTTTGTGGAGTATAAATGATTGTACATGTGTATGTCAAAAAAACAAAAACTGTACCGATTATCTGTAACGGCTGCTAGTCCGGCAATGTCCAGCACTAAAGAGGACTCCTGAGAACGCCCACTGGATGGCTTATTTGGGTTATGGGGAGGAGATGATCCCTCATGGCATAGCATTCCAGTACCAGTCATTCGCCAGAGCTGTGACCTCTTACCTGGCTCCTGCAATTCATTAGAACATGAGACAACCAAATTAGTACATGATACACCTTCATTGGCAGATGTACATTCTTTCAAAGTTATTGTAAGCATGTTGTTATTATTCAGGATTTATATAGCGCCAACAGTTTGCACAGTACTTTACAATATAAGGAAGACACTACAATCACAATACAATTCAAGACAAGATGTAAGGAGGGCCCTGACCCTGAGGCCTTAAAATCTAAAAGTGTAATATTCAGTCTTAAAACTTTCAGTCTAAATTAACATAACAGTGCAGTCTTACTTCATATACATTTATATTGGCCTTCTCTAACACCTAACACAAGCTAAACTGTGAGAGTCATACATAGTAAATAAATGACTATATGTGAGCCTGACACTTCAGCTTGCATTAGGGGCAGAGATCAGATGAGGTCTAACAGTTGCTACCCTGTCTGAGTGCATACAGTAGTCCAGCTTCCGAGTGTACAGCACGTGGCATGAGGTAGTTGAAAAGGTGACCTCAGTCCCCTGACACCAATGTCAGGCTCTGACAAAAGAAATAAAGATACGTTAGGAAGCAAATATTAAATACTTGTTATACACTGCCTGGCCAATAAGAGTCACCACCTGGATTTTGGGCAGTGTTATGATCTGCTTCAGTTGGTCAGGTCTAGGTTCAGCAACGTTATGTGCCCAAAATTAGGTCATCTGTCTATCTGAATACCCTGAATGACCAAGTTCTTCCATCAATGGATTTTTTCTTCCCTGACGGCACGGGCATATTTCAAAATGACAATACATCATTCATCGGGCTCAAATTGTAAAGAGTGGTTCACATCATTTTCACACATTGAAATGATGTTTCATGCTTCCTGAACCACTCCTTCAAGAGTGGCTGCAGCTGACTGGCTCCTTTGACAAATGTCAACTGCAGAACCGATTTGTGCCAGAAGGGCCACACATGGCTTGAATTTCAGCAGTACTCAGTCCAAAATTTTGAGCAGTGTATGACCAGCTTTACTATGCACAAAAGAATGCTAATCAGCAGAAATAATTTAGGCACAAGGGTTTGCTTGTTGCTTGGTTGTCTACACTTTCCAGTTATCACAACTGATAAACAGATTGTTCCTCTCCCTTGTAAGCGGTGTATGTGTGGTCTGCCTCCCACCATGTTCACGAGACCAGAACCGTTATTAGAAATACAGGATTCTAATAGATTGTAAGCTCTCACAAGCAGGACCCTCCCAACCCTACTGTACTGACATTGTATTGTAGCTGTACTGTATCCCTCCATTTTGTAAAGCCCTGCACAAACTGTTGGCTATATGAATCCTGTATTATAATAATAATAATAATAAATGATAATTATCAAAACTGTACCTTCTTCTTTAGGATCACTCTGTGGGTTTTTGGCTGGACGTCCAGGACAAGCTCTGAGTAAATAACATTTTTAGACTGACCGATGGATCGAACATTTCCCTCTTGAATCCTGTAAGGAAGACATACAGCAATAAGGATTTCAAAGAAAGAAGAAAAATGTTCTAATTACTATATAAGCTAATTTGGTATCCATGATACTATTTTAACATGTATTGCCAGGAATAATTCCAACACATGAGCATATGACCTTACCCAGAGAATGTATAGGTGGCAGCTATGTAGATGAAGTTTTCATAGTAAAGTTGCTTGCTGTCCTGGAAGTCATTCATGTTGCAGACTATCTCTGCAGAGCCAGCTCCTTTGACAGTCAGTGTGACATAGGAGGGCAGTATCGGCTCATCCCATGCATAGTCCAGAGAGGTGGCGGCCTTCACCTCCGTCCGCAGCCTAGGCTCTGCTACTCCATGTTGCATGAACACAACTGGGACCTAGACACATAAAATATTTATACCTATGTTATAATTTTATTTGTAGGGTAAGAACAGAGACAAGAATAAAAAGAAAACTCAGAACCTGGTTGGCTATCAAGAGTTACCATAAATACTGATACCTTTCAAAGAAGACAATTCACTATCCTGCATAGATTTTAGGAAACTCTATAGCTGAATGTCAAGCAAACGGCTAAATACTAGGGATGCACCGATACCGGTATTTCGGTATCGAGTACCGATATTTTTTCGGTACTCGCCGATGCCGAATACCGGAAGTCCCATTCAGGAAGCCAGGCAGCGTGTAAAGACTCGCCACCCGGCTTCCCGATTAGCAGGAAAGCCGCCCCCATGCTTTCGTCATGATGTGACAAGAAAGCATGGAGCCGGCTTTTTGGATAATCAGGAAGCCGTGCGCCGTGCAATGACGTGGCGCCCGGCTTCCTGATTGGCTGGGAAGCCAGCTCCATGCGCCCTCGTCATGAGGCGACAAGGGAGCATGGAGCCGGCTTCCCGGCCAATCAGGAAGCCGGGCTGCATGTAATGACGTGCTGCCCAGCTTCCTGATACATTAAGTATTGGGCTAGGCATCGGAGCATTTGGGCGAGTACGAGTACTCACCCAAATACTCGGCATCGGAACCGATACTAGTATCGGTATCGGTGCACCCCTACTAAATACACTGTTTAAGTTGAGCTGTTTAACCTGCAAAAAGGATTGTATTTATGTCCACCCAGTTCCAGTTCTGAGACCTACACAGCTCTGTCACACAGCACAGGCCTGTCTGGCAGGGCAGAAAACTTAAATTTCCTCTGCTGCGGTTAAGTAACACTTAAAGGTCTGGTCCCCAAGCCCATGAATGCACAGTAAAAAGAGAAGCAGCACATTGATGAGCTCATCACTCAGTCACTCTATTCTCTCTGTCTATGAGCATGCTCCTCATTAGCACAACTGATTCCTTTGTGCTAATGAGGAGCTTGCTTCCTTTGCTGCTATTCCCTCTCCTAGTGTGAGCTCAGTTGTATATAGACTACAAAGGGCTGAAACCAAGGGAGACTCGGGTACTATACTGCAAGCATGATGAATTAAGGCATACAGAGATCATTACATTGTGTCTTTTATATGTGCCTGGAGTCCAGCTTTAATTAGAGTGGCACCAATCTACTGGGTGTCAGTAAGGCTGACAATGAACACAACATCTAAGGTAAGTGAAATGGCAGCTAAAGGGAGGTAAAGTGAGAGCTGTTGGGGCCTATCGGGGAAAAGGTCTAGGTATCTTCAGTTCATTAGTGCCCTGCTTCATTGGCTTGTTGCCTTTGTCTACCTCTAGACTAGAATAAAGCTTTATATTTCCATACTACGACAGGTGTAGATACACATGTGGGCTTCACTATGGCCCTACTTGGGTCTATGTCAGTCACAGACTTGTCCTGACCCCTTTGTAAGAGTCAGCATGACCAAGTACTGACTCCTTCTAAGGTCAGCAAGAGGTTAGAGCTACATTTGTAGAACACTGACATGTATAAAGAGCACTTCATTTTGTTTTCTTGATATATTAGAAAAGCTTTAGAGCAGCACAAACCAATACAAAAAAAAAATAAACCTATCTTTTAATAAAGCACAATTTTCAAGATGAAGTTATCAAAGAGCGCATCCATAACTTGCTCGGTCTTTATAATATATAGAAATTTATATCAAACACTTCGTAGTACTGAGTTCACCTTTGAAAAGTTATCCACTCGAAAAGGAGGAGGAAGTTGTTCCGTGTTACTGAAAGATATCCGGTACGTCGCTCCTTGCAGTGTAATCTCAACCCGTAAAAAGTAACATTTTCCAAGAGTGTCCCTAAATAAAAAAATATAAAAAATATTAGGGGATAAAAATAAAATAATTTGGCAAAGAACACAGAGTATCAATGACATTCTTCCAGTGCAACATTTTGAGAGAACAGGTCCCAGTTAACCAGCCGTCTTAGGCTGGGTTCACACCTAGGCGGCACCGTTTTTGCGCGTTTGTACGCGCGTTAACAGCATGTGGTTATCTGCGCATTGTGCACATTTGTATGCACGTTTTAACGCACGTACATGAGGACGCGCATTTTGATTGGCAGCTCATAAACCATTGTGGGCAATGGAAGAAGGCACAAAAATGCTCATGAAAATGTGCGACATGCTTCTGTTACGCATTTTTGGGCATTTCCAATGAAGTCTTTGGGGCAAAGAAGCGCTTTTAACTGCCCAAAGAAGCTCCTGTATCTTTTCAGGTGTTTGTCATTTTTCTGCTCAGGTGTGAACCAGGGCCATTGAAAATCATGGGATTTATTGTGTTGGGCAGTTAAAAGCGCTTTTCGAACTGCTCAAAAACTCCTAGGTGTGAACCAGCGCTAAGTACGGTATGATTTCCTGTCTTGCCCTAATCCCGACAACACAACAACAACAAAAATCCAGACCCCTCATCCAGCTCTAGCAGCCTACATGGAAGGCAGCAACACAAACTGTATGGGTACAAATCTACTGATAAAATCTCATATTTCCCAGACAACTACAGAAAGCTAGAATCTGAGTGGTTGCGTCAATATTCTCTGCACACAGTTCTCTGACTCAGTAGAACTATACTATTTAAACCTGAACGCCAGGCAAACTGATAAATATGCAGATGAAATACACACACGTGAACCATCTTATCTGCCAAAGCATTTTTTATTCTGTCCAACCACTTTTGTGATTTATTTACCTTTTGTAGATGAAACAGTCAGGAGGGTGTTACCACTTTCCCCAATAAGGTGAAGGAATATAGTGGTGTCACCTTGCTGCCTGCAGCTTGCTGATTGGACAATAAAGGAGAAACAGAGCACGGATAAGTCATCAGCTTTGCTCACTTTGCATAGTCCCTGTCAGCACATGTGCATGTGGCAGAGCCCGATTAGCTCCCAGTGACACCCCTTCCCTCTCACAGTGCTGCCATGCTGGCAATAACAGATGCCACTATGAAGACAGATGTAGGTACTTATGCTAGCTGCATATAAAACCACATTGTTACTTTACACAAATTACATGAAATAGTGTTTTCAATATCATCCTGAGGTTTGGCATGGTATACACCAGGGGTAGCTAAACTGCGGTCCTCTAGCTGTGGGGAAACTACAAATACCATCATGCATCTGCCTCAGAAGGCCATGCCTGTGGCTGCCAGTATCTTGCAATGCCTACTGGGACTTGTAGTTTCATCACAGCTGGAGGGCCGCAGTTCGGCTACCCCTGGTGTAGACATTGAAAATGAAATATCAGAGGCACACATGAATAGGTATATGAGCACATACCTCATGTTGATATGAAAAGAATTGTTTTTATTGACCTCAAAGCCACCAGACCAGGTACAGTTAGAAACATCCATGAGTCGTACACAAAGCAGCTGGTCGTAGTCATTCCTTGGCCAATGAAACACCACGCTGGAACCGTGGAGGGTGGAAATGTAACCATCAGGATTGTTTGTGCCCTAGAAAAGACAATTAGGTATGTAAGGCAAGAACTCAGCACCCGCACATGGATGACTTTATAATTGTTCTATACTCTTACCTGTCCTCTTGCAAATTCCCTTTGGGCAAAGGCAAGCTTGTGAGAAGATTTGTTGATCAACAAGTAGCGGGGTGCGAAGGTGACCATACAGGTGTCTATGTATCTCCCTCTGCCTTTTTTAACATCAATCCCTAGAACAAAGGTAGATACAGATAGTACTAGGTACACCGTGGAACAGTGAGGCTGACCTGCTATTGAGCCTGGATTTCTAACTTTAACAATTGTGTTATCCATTACTTTTGCTTAAATTGCAACACATTTAAACGTATGGTTATAACAAGTATACATCTAGTCTATTATAGCATTAGTTTGAACTGGTTCATGATGGCATATAATGGTGTGTATACACAAGGGCTTTTAATCTTTCTATTCAGAAATCAGACATCGGACTGTTTTTCCACATGGCATGAACAACCACTGGACAAAGCATGCTGGACAAATTCACATAGAGTATTGCCATCTCTCTGCTTAAAGACCAGGTGATAGGAGCCCGTCCAGCCCCTTAGTTTTTGTATCATTTTTTGTTGTTGTCTGGACTTGCAGCAGTAGTAAAATAATCAGACACCCCTGTTGTCTGCACTGGCTGCTCTCAGAATTACGATCAATAAAATATTAGAATGGTAACCTATGTAATGCAGTTATAACACAGTACGAGAGGTTAGTTATGTAATAAAGGGTGGAGAGTGAACGTTTAGGGAGAGCAGGGGTTAGCACCTATATTGTAGATGAGTCCCGGTCGGTTCCCTTGTTGGATAACTTTCAATGCCCTCACGCCACTTCCTCCATCTAAAGAAAAGGCTTGACACCAGCCAGGTATGCCATCGGGGTGAATTCCTTTCCCAATTCTCATTGTACAGCTGTGGATAAAACAAAATCATGTATACAGACTCAGGAAATATTGTCATGCAAGCCCTAGACAGGAACCCTTTCATACTGGCTATTTACAGTTCTTGTGCTTAGAGTGGAAATTATTCAACAATTCGGTGGCATTGAGCTGGGTTTGACTGATCTTCACTGCAATTTTGATCATCTGGTTACTAGAAACTAGGAAAATGTTTGCTTAAAGTAAAGTTGTACTCTATTTTCATGCCCATCTCCAGGCAACAGATAAACTAAATGCCGCAACTCCCTCTCCCAAGCTGAAGGCCCTCCTTTTTTAAGCTTAACATACCATGCCCCAGCATTGTGTTCCACCTAATTTTAACCTCAGTGAAGTTATCACTGTAGCTAAAGCAATCCTTCAGCCAGGAGGAGAGGTCCATGTGCACAGAGACTGGTGAGAAGATATGCAGCAGAGGGTTCAGACTTATGCATAGCCGAGTTTGCATGCACTGTGCCAGCAAATCCCCCAGGTCTCGAACTGTAGGGGAGGGAGGGGGTGAGAAGACCCATCACCCTGCTCACAGAAAGCAGGCAGGGGTGACTGGTCTCCATCAGCAGAAATTGGGACATCAGCAGACAAAAAGGGCACCATTTTTTTGCTGTAACTGCTATAAACATCCAGGGTGACTCACAGGTTTGGAAGTTCCTTGTCTGAATAGCAGAACAAAAGAGGACTCAGACTTCTGGCGAGTTCGTGTTCCTCAAACTGAGCAGCAGCATCTGTTTTGGCGTTGTCCTGTCTGAAGATCAATGGCAGGCCTAAAAAAAGGAACAGCAAAATTCAGTCTGCAAGTAGTGAAAGACGCAGACAAGGGATGACTTTTTTTTTTTTGCAGCAGCAGCAGAGAAGTTTAATACTTAAAGAAAAATGCAGCACTAAGAATACATTTTTAATATAGCATATTATATAAGAAAACCAAAAAGTGAATGCCCAGTTGAAGACTCTCACCTTTTAATGTCTTTATAGCCTGTTGTCCACGCATGGTACTAGCTGTGACTAAGTTGTTCTAGCAATTGCATCATAAATGCTTTAAAATGCCTTATTCTGTCTGTGAAAATGCTGCTGCCTAACCTCGTACACCAGGGCTACTTTACTACTTAACACACACAGGGACCATGGGGAACAAAAGTAGTCCCCCTCCAGAAGGAAGGACAGTGTCAGCACCATTTCAGAGATGATTTGAGGATCTACAGCCGAGTGATGCACAAATAAGATACATTTTTTTGTTAAAGGAGAACTATGGGGGTCAGTGTTTTTCCCCATAGTTCTCCTTAGGGTAACGGGAGGACACAAACTAGCGTCCTCCCGTTACCCTAAGCTCAGTATACCACAAGCTACAGCTCGCGGTATACTGAGACGCCGGAGCGGATCCCGACATCGATGTCGAGATCCGCCCAGCTGCGTGAGTGACAGCTGGCTCTGCCTATCTAGAGGCAGATCCAGCTGTACCCGCCCCCTCCCCCGTCCGTTCCGCCAGTCAGCGCTGGCGGATGAGAGCGGGGAGCGAGGAATCCAGCCCCTCCCCTGTCACGGCAGAGAGCCGTGACAGGATCGAGAGGTGAGCGAACCCGGTATCTGTTCGCTCACCTCCCGATCTACTGAGCCGACCTGTGACAGCCTCATTGTCACAGGTCGGCTAGAACTATGAGGTGAGTGGAAATCACTCATCTCATAGTTCTCCTTTAACAGTTGGGGTACTTGAATTCATTTTTAAGGCTCAATTCTTGAGTTTAGTGTCACTTTAATTTTAGGGTTAGTTTAAGTGTTAGGGTTTGGTTGAAGTCTATAGTTAAGTGTTAACGCCATGCAAAATATTAGGTGTGTTTTAGAGGTTTGTGGAGGAAGTGGTTTTTAGGAACACTTACAGGGTTATTCACAAAACGATGAAGAGTTTGGAGAAGGCAGGAGAAGTGAACAATCTAGGCCAACAGAGCTGGTTTGGAAAAATTCTCCAATTCAGCTCAATGTCCAGTTCAGCTATGTTGTCCTAGATTGTTCACTTCCTTGCCTTCTCCAAACTCTTCACCCCTTTGTGAATAGCCCTCTTAAATTTACGTTGATTTTCATGTTGAAGGCATTGTGCCAAGAACAAGTGTTTGGTTTTGTGCAAAGAAAACTGTCCTCCGGTAACCGAAATCAGAAATCCTTTTACAATGAATGAAGTGTTAAAACAAGATAACCCCGTCTCACTTGACCAACCTGTTTTATTAATCAACCAATAAGGTGCTGAAATAAATATTTTCAGGGAGCCTTCAGCCCGGCAGATGATGCGTATGGTGAGGTTAAGCAGCCTCTTGTTGACATCGTACAGTCTCATCCTCACGATGTAGTTCTGAGTCCCGGGAGGGATGAGCAGCTCCTTGCAGTGTGGGAAGTTTTCCAGAGAGATTCCTGTACAATACATTATGAATAATGTAACAAAATGAGATTTGGGAACATACAGTTCCACATACATGACTACATTTATTACAGAACAAGCAAAGCTAAAATTAGCTACAAAGTTACAAAAGTGAAAGAGCTACTGATAATGATTGCAGACAGAAAAACTAAACTAGACTCTAATCACAGAGCTTTAACACAAAGAAAAATATATTTTAGCCATATACCGGATGCAGCTCAACATTATTGTTTTTATTTATTTTTTTAGCTTTGTGAATTGTGTTTTATGTATATAACAGGTATGCCAAAGCTGCCATACCTGTACTGAAAAATAACATTTGGGATTTCAAAAAGCATTCCAAGTAAACAGTGGGCAACTCAGCGAACAATCTCCAACAGGCCCAAAAAGAAAAAACCCAGAAAACTGTAGACAAACTGCACCTCAAAGAGCTTCCTGAAGGCCCTTATTCCTGAAGCTGCCACTATATGAGGCAGAAACATCCACCTGATAGAACTTAGAGAAAGTGTGAAGAGAAGACGACGTGGCCGCCTTGCAAATCTAGCAAACAGTTGAGCCTTAGAAACACTTGCAGATCTAGTAGAGTGCACTTTGGCAGGAAAGGGTGGAACCTGATTCTTGAGAACGTATGCTTGAATAATGGTCTGCCTAAGACAATTAGAAATGGTAGAACAAGTAGCCAGTGTTTCCTTTCAGAATTCATACAGGATGGCAAAAACAGAATCAGTCTCTCTAAAAGAAGCAGTGGCTGAGACAAAAACTTGCACAGCCCAAACCACTTTTGGTAAACTGAATTCAGACATAGGGACAAAAATGTTTTGGTTGAGATGAAAGGCAGAAACTATCTTAGGCAAGAAGGAAGTCCTGGGCCTTAAAGGAGAACTATGGGGTCAGGATTTTTCCCCATAGTTCTCCTTAGGGTAACGGGAGGACACAAACTAGCGTCCTCCCGTCACCCTAGGCTCAGTATACCGCGAGCTACAGCTCGCGGTATACTGAGACGCCTCAGCGGATCCCGACATCGATGTCGAGATACGCCCAGCTGCGTGAGTGACAGCTGGCTCTGCCTATCTAGAGGCTGAGCCAGCTATACCCGCCCCCTCCACCGTCCGTCAATTTCAACTCCATTATAGTTAATTTGGAACAATCAAATTATACATTACAATACAACTGCTACTAATAATAGTTGAGTAAAAGCTCTCACCCAGCTCAAAGTTCTGGGAAGTGTCGGCTGTGGGCAGTGCTGTCTCCTTCCCATGTTTCAGGGTTCCTTTAATAGGTGAGCCTTTTACATAGAAGCTGAGCTCACAAGGCAGCAGGTTGCAGATCACCACCGTTGGTAGAAGGAAGATGGTATGACCCGGCTGCCTGTAGATCTGTTTAGCACTATCTGAAAAAATATTTGAGGGCATATAATCCGGGTAGTTTTCTTTCTTTAGAGCCACACAGAACCTGAAAGAATCAAAGAATAGAAATAAGCAGACTGTTCAACATCAATAAGACACAAGAAGATATCCTTTATGTAAAGTGTAAATAAAGCCAAAGTGTTATTTTCATATTGGATAGAGTGTGGAAGGGTTCAAACCCCTGTTGGGATTTTATTGCTGTCTGTGTCCTCCCTGGAGATAAATACTCTCTCTTTTTGTACAGATGACCATTATCAACAGTAGGGATGGACCGATACTAGTATCTGTATCGGTGCCGATGCCAAGTATTTAGGCAAGTACTTGTTGGTCGGGAAGCCGCCTTCATGCTCCCTTGTCACCTCATGACGAGGGAGCATGGAGCCAGCTTCCCGGCCGCCGTGTAATGACGCGGCGCCCGGTTTCCTGAATGGCCAGAAAGCCGGCTCCATGCTTTCTCGTCACCTAGTGACGAGAAGCATGGGGACGGCTTCCCTGCTAATCAAGAAGCCAGGTGGCGAGTCTTTAGACACTGCCCGGCTTCCCGGCTAATCAGGAAGCCAGGTGGTGAGTCATTACACGCTGCCTGGCTTCCTAAATGGGACTTCCAGGAACTCTGTATCGGCGAGTACCGAAAAAAAAATTATCGGTACTCGATACAAAAATACCGGTATCGGTGCATCCCTAGTCAACAGTACTGAAAATGTACAAAAATACAATCCGCTGACAACTAAAAGAGAAGTTCCTTTACCTAAGAGAGATTTCCTTTTACTTACTATTGCGTCTTTTAGAGAGGAAGTGACTAAAATGTTCCCCAAGTGGCATACAGACAACAACAAAAATAAACCTGCCTTTTCCTGCTCTAACCAAAATTAAAAAAACAAATTACTTTTAGATACACAATAAAAAGACATTGGGGGAATTTATCAAAACTGGAGCAGACAAAATCTGGAGCAGCTGTGCACGGCAACCAATCGGCTTCTCTCTTTCATTTTCAAATCTTAACTGAACAAATGAAGGAGAGAAGTCGATTGGATGCCCTGAGCAACTGCTCCAGATTTTGTCTGCTCCAGTTTTGATAAATTCCCCTCAATGAAGCAGCTAAATCAACACAGTTAATCAACAATCGATTTACTACATACCACTAATCTCTGATTGCCTATGGTTGATGTCATATATTTGCACTTGTGCCATATTATTATAGAAAGTCCAAGGTGACATCAGAAAGTTACTAGAAGCCTTTTTTTATTAGATCACAGTGTGACAGCTGTACATGTTTTTGACCTTTGTTGTCACAGGTACAAAAATCCCAAACAGTACAGATTTCATCGTGCGTAGTTACCTGAAATATCTGCTGTTCTCTGCATCCATGGAGTGACATTCACGCTTACTGCTAGAGACTTCCCCAGTCTTGGTGACATTAGTCCAGTGAATGGGATTCTTACAGAAGAAAACACCCATTCCTCTGGGACGGGCTTGTAGCCTCCAGGATGTGAGGTGCAGAGGAATAGCGAATGAATCTCCGGGCATCACTGCAGGAAGTATCACTGGCTCTGTGGACAAAGAAGAGAGCTATGTCATGAAACAGTGAGCACAAAGATTTGTCAATATCCTGTATGTGCCATTCTCCTATATAAATAACCTTTTGGAAGTATAAAAAGCAAACAAAGTTGTGAAAAACAAGATGAAGAGGCTTCTTAAAAGTTCTGAATGTTTTGATCTGATTAGGCAGAACATAAACGGTTCTGGAAGGTGTTGAAAACCAACTTCCCAAAGTAGAAATTCTGTGTCTCCGTTTCACCGAATTTAGACATTTATCTATTCTTAAAAGAGCACTATGGGGTATGTGTTTTTGCCCAAGGGACACGGGAGGACATATACTAACGTCCTCCCATGACCCAAAGCTCAGTATATTGCGAGCCACAGCTCACGGTATACTGAGAGAACTCCAAAATGTATTGTTTATTTATTATCGCATTTATAAAGCGCCGACAATTTACAAAGCTCTTACACAGTGCACATTCATATCAGTCCCTGCCCTTGAGGAGCTTACAATCTAAGGTCCCTATCTCACATGCATACATACAGGGCCAATTTAGACAGAAGCCAACTAACCTTAAAAATTCCAACTTTTACAATCCCTCATGGGTCTGAGTGAACAGCAACAGAGACACCATGAAACCAGTTCAGCAAGAATGGCAACACACCATGAATGCGTTACATACGCAATATTATCACCTGACATAATAAGTAAAACTTTTTAGCATCCAGAATACATCCATGGGAATTCTTGGTGATCTTACTTTCATAGGTCTAACATTTAAATTACAAACATAAAGGCCAAAGTCATGCTAAATGTTCTGTACAGTGCTATACATAACTCATTGCATACACCCAAACACCAAATGTTGCTCCTCCAGTCTCTGCTCAGTGAGTATTCTTTCAACAAAGCAAGTTGGAGGCACAATCTGGCAACAAAAGACCAGGCTAAATTGTCAAAAAGATCAACCAAACTCACTGGGTTACAGTCCCAACATGAACCACATTTTAACATATTTGTTTAGCTAAAACGATGTCAGTTACTCACTGTCTGGGGCAGATGGGCTGTCCAGTCGAAGTTCCATGGGGATCTCCAGCTTGTTTTTCACAATCAGAGATGACCGGACAGTGATCACTTTCCGTGCGCTGCCTTCCATAGTAACAGCAAACACTACGCGCACTGGAGGAAGTGCTGAAAACTATACGTGGAACAAAAAATATGTCAATTACAATAGGGAGAGTGTTGGTAGTTATATTTAGATAAATGTGTCCGAATTTTCCTTGCAGACCCTCAACCACTTTGTAACCAGCGACTTAATACCCCTTATGTGAAAAGCATTGGATGACATTTGATAAAATGCCAGGATATTAGAAACATGCTGACAGATATACTGAACTTACATAGACTTGGGGATGTATTATGTTGGTTCTACTAATTGGACTTCCGACCTGAAACACAAAATTTAATAATTTTGCACTTATTTATGTCACATGCTATTGAATCTATAAGTTAATATTTATGTAAAAATGCTTTGCAGCGCAATATATCTAAAATATTTAAAAGGCCAATAAATACAAGCTTTATTAAACAATTAAGTGCAAATAAGCTTTTACTGCTGTGGCATCACGTAGATGTCTTCAAGATCTTACCGAAGATGAAGATGTATTTTTATCAGGTGCTGCATAACGGAAAAATATTCCAACTTTATCCACAGACACAGGGCTGATCTGTTCCCAGCCACTGACTCGGACCTGGAGCTGGTGGATCCGCAAGTCATGAGTATGTCTGCAAAGGGAGAGTAGGTGTGTCAGCTAAGTCAGTACAGTTTACCTACCACATCAGGATCATCAATATACAGAATTCTATTCACCCGAAAAGTTGCTGGGTTTTTATTTCACAAAACATTGGAAAACCGTCCACAGATATGCATACCTTCTATTGATGGTGACAGGAGATAAGAAAACTGTACTGGTCCCACTGGACAGACTGTGATAATTGTATCATGCCCTAATGATGTTTATATCCCAATCTAAGTAGAGTAATACATACATAAAAGCGTTTGATTATTCCACCAGGAATGACCAGCCAGCCACTACACTTTTCTTGGTTTTATCTGATATATACATTCAGGGGCGTAACTAGAAATCACAGGGCCCCATAGCAAAATTTTGTATGGGGCCCCGTGATTGCTAATTATGCCACTTGCAGAGCCCCAGTGGAGAGTGACCCTGCAGAGCCCCAGCAGAGAGTGACCCTGCAGAGCCCACCATAGACTCTCTATAGTGGGCTCTGCAGGGTCTGAGATCTCTTACCTGTCAGCGCCTCTGTGGTCGCCGTGACCCGACTCCTGTTCCGTCCCCGGGACCCGCCTCCTCTGCTATGGACGGGCCCCGCCTTCTCTTACATCACTGGCCCCACCTGCTCTTAGGTCGCTGGCCAGTGATGTAAGAGGAGGCGGGCCCACCTCCTCCATTCCGAACACCGCCCTCATCTGCCACAGCGGCTGGCTGTCACTGACACAGCTCCGCAGCGGCTATGAGGGGAAATGCGCAGTGGCCGCTGCTGAGCTGCGTCTGTGACAGCCAGCACCCCCATATGCCATAGCGACTCAGGCGGCCCTGGCCGGGCCCCATAGCGGCCGCCTAGGTCGCTATGGCGATTGTTACGCCACTGTAAACATTCTCTAGCATGCCAACCAACCAATTTTTTTAGGAAAGTACAGCCAGCCCGCATAGTAGGAGGACCTGTAACAGGTTAAGTGCATCGTTTTGCTAATAGGATTGTGTATTGTGGGTGAGTCTGTGTGTGCACCATGTGGCATGTGTGGGTGTGCTCATTGCAAGCCCTGGCGACAAACTATTTAAGGCGGAACTCTGCATTCTTCCAGTGCTGAGAGGTCTTCAGCTGTTCATGTATTCTGTGATCTTGATTCCGTTCCTGACCTTCTGTTATCCACCTGGCTTACTAACTTCTGATTGCTGCTCAGTTCCCGCATGACCTCAGCTTGTCTTCTGACCATTAATCTGCTTGCTGATTCTGTACCAAGCGGTCTGCAAGTACAGCGGCTATGAGGGGAAATGCGCAGTGGCCGCTGCTGAGCTGCGTCTGTGACAGCCAGCACCCCCATATGCCATAGCGACTCAGGCGGCCCTGGCCGGGCCCCATAGCGGCCGCCTAGGTCGCTATGGCGATTGTTACGCCACTGTAAACATTCTCTAGCATGCCAACCAACCAATTTTTTTAGGAAAGTACAGCCAGCCCGCATAGTAGGAGGACCTGTAACAGGTTAAGTGCATCGTTTTGCTAATAGGATTGTGTATTGTGGGTGAGTCTGTGTGTGCACCATGTGGCATGTGTGGGTGTGCTCATTGCAAGCCCTGGCGACAAACTATTTAAGGCGGAACTCTGCATTCTTCCAGTGCTGAGAGGTCTTCAGCTGTTCATGTATTCTGTGATCTTGATTCCGTTCCTGACCTTCTGTTATCCACCTGGCTTACTAACTTCTGATTGCTGCTCAGTTCCCGCATGACCTCAGCTTGTCTTCTGACCATTAATCTGCTTGCTGATTCTGTACCAAGCGGTCTGCAAGTTACTGAGCCGGGCCTGTCCCCGAATCTGCTTCTGCCTGCTGATTCTGTGCCGCACTACCTTCAAGTTATGGACCTGGCTTGTTCCTGACCTTCTGTTATCCACCTGGCTTACCAACTTCTGATTGCTGCTCAGTTCCCGCATGAACTCCGCTTGTCTTCTGACCATTCATCTGCTTGCTGATTCTGTACCAGGCGGTCTGCAAGTTACTGACCCGGGCCTGTCACTGAATCTGCCTGCTGATTTTGTACCGCACTACCTTCAAGTTATGGACCTGGCTTGTTCCTGACTGTGTTTCCAGCTACCATATCTGTGCCATGCTGTCCACTGCCGACATCGCTCTTTGGTGTTCAGGCATCTCCTGCTTCACCCAGCATCCCGACATCTGCGTTGCTGGTTTCGGAACATGGGTACATCACCTGCCAGCACTAGTGCCACTGTTTCGCCCCTGCACCCTCTGTTTTATTATCACTGGTGTCTGGACTTGAGCAGTAAGCGCGGCCGTCCTTGTGATCTCAGGCTCGCATCAAGGTACTTGACACAAGTACTCATTGGGAAGTAGAAGCACTGCCTGCTCATTTCTGGTCACTGTTATCTCCCAAAGAGTTTACAGACTGTCCAGTTTTTGTTGATCAAAACGAATTCTGACACTGAACGTGGTTTATGTTTGGGAAACTCCTTTCATTCCAAAATCAAACAAAATTTCGATTGACACTATAGAAGGCTCTGATGCCATTATCGAATTTTGCTGATCAGATTATTCGCATGAAAGTTCATACGAAAATCTACCAGTGTATACCCAGCTTAAGTGAGGACTAGGAACACCTTATGTTGCTGAGTGCTGCTGTGGGCTAATAAGGAAACCGACAGTCCTCATTACCTGTGTCTGAGTTTCTCCCTGGTTTCAAACTCGAATGGGATCTCTTCTCCTGGGAGCACTTCTCTCCACTGACTGACGTTGAGTGTGTCATCCAGGAAGTTTTTATCACTATCGGAAACGACCTCTGGGCTCCCACTGTGAGATAGTGCAGCACTGCAAAATATTACAATCACTTTAGTTGCACTACAATGGAAAGAGCTGCCAAAATTTTTTATATTTGTAACATTTTTGTCGCACAAAATCGCCTGCGCATTTAATCGGATTTAACTAAACACCAAAAACCTGATTTGCCTTGCTCAATTTGAAACAGAAGTAGGGTGGCCTGGAATACCCTTTAGTGGCTCCACTTTTTAATTTCATACGTCTATAATGTTTTTCTATATTGAATGCAAAGTACTCCTAGAGAGAAAATTAGCTTTAGGACTTTGCACATCAATCAAAACGAGGCACTCAGCAGTTTAAGCCGTCTAGTGAATGAAACATAATGCTTCATTTACTCAAACGATCAGAGAATCAGTCAGTTCCTGCTGTTCTACATAGCCTGAAGATCTGTTGCTCTCATTGTGGTTTCCCTTCCCCAACACTAAAAAGCATTTGACAGCCATGAGGAACTCAGGACAGAGCCACATGTGTATTAGATGTATGTCAGCACAAGTGTAAGCAGACCGTGGGCAATGCTGGCACTATGCAGCTGTATTGCTGCACAAATATATGATAAGAAAAAAAACAATTGTTCACTGTAAAATCTGAACTTTTGCACTTAAACCCAGGACAGCTGCTAAGTTAGTAATTTTAGCCTCTAGGAGACCACAATAGGGGCAACCGATCAGTTCACAACAGAAGCTGCTTTCTAACTGTAGCAAGAACCAGCTTTATTATAAATAGGACTTTTCTCTTAAATCTCAACTGCAGCCAAAATGCATTTCGGGTTTTGGTAGCCTGGGTTGTCATGACTGTAAGTGTACTGGTTGGGGAAGACTCATCTCATTTCCTGTTAATGTGACACCGAGACATGAAAAGGGGTAAAAGGGGTATCATTAAGACAGAAAGACACTAACAGATCTTATAATATTTTCCCCCTTTTATTAAGATGATGTGTCTTTTCGTTGTTGTCTCTCTCCCTATGGGAAGAATTCCCCACAACTTCCTGTCTTCAAAACTTTATCATCAGGGAAAGAAATCAGAAGTAATCTTGCCAACAGCAACAAAATGTCAATAAATTAAAAAAAAAAAAAAAACACAAAATGACAGAGGTTCTATCCCTTTTCTCTCTCTCTCTATCCAGAAAAAAAGGTGGCTGCAGCCACACATCAACAATGCTGCCCATACAAGAGCAAATGCAAAAGGCACTTGACCTGCCTTTAAGGATCTATTTCAGTCTTGATCACACAATCCTGCTGCCCCATCTTATGAAAACTCTTATGCCAGATCTTATGAATACTCTTTCATCTTATGAAAATTATTAAACATTATAAAAGTTATGGAATCAAAGTGAAAAGAAAGGATGGCAGCTGAAAGGAGAAAAAAAAGTAAGCCTGATCATTGGCGCCGCCTTACCGTGTAGGTGTTGTAGTTAACGTAGCAAACCAGAGCGTGCATCCCGTGTGATTCCTGAGAGCGAACGGTACAAAGGGCTGCCTACGCTTTGGTGTCTTCATTTCAACTGAAACATGGAATTAGCATAAGGATTTACAATATGCAAAACTCATAGTTCCCAGTCAAATAAACATACTAAGATGATTTAAAAAAAAAAATAAAAAGGTGGAAAAAAAAACCCATTATACGAATTATATCACAAAATGAAAAAAAAAAGAATGAAACATTTCAACAAAACCTTAGGAAAAATAACACGGTTTCTGTCTTGGCAGAAATGTGGGGGGACATGTACAAAAGAGACTTGCATTAAACATGGACCATAGACCTGGAATGAGAAAGTTGCACTGGTAACTATACCAGTGGTCCTGCACCAAATCTTGCCATGTTTGTCCTCAGCCAAAATGGCACTAGGCTGACAGGGTGACCGTCTTTAATCCATAAGGACAACATTAGTTTGAGCCTGTGCATATTGGGATGGTGTTTTTTTTCTCAACCTCCATCATCATGCTTTGCTTAATGCTGACCTGCACTTACCCCAGTAGAGTTAAATATATATTTCTGGTACCAAGATAGATTTTGAACTAAATGTATTACCTTTGAATTAGAATGCTTTGTATTTAAATAGGTTGAAATAGGTTGTTGTGATACATGATGCGTTGAATGGGTTTCCGCAGCAGGTCTGCTACAGACAGATGACAAATGCTCTACTGTAATGATTTTTTTTCATTTAAAAAAGAAATAGAAAATACAGACAGATCAATAATGTTTCCCTTTTTAGATTTATAAGGCGAATCTTTGTTTTCCCTGGGGTTCTCCTTAACACTATAGGGGAAAAAAAGTGCTGGGTAAATTGTTGCTACTATATAAAATACTTGTAATAAATAATGATAATACATTTGATCCGTTTGTTTAACTCTAAAATAATATGCTATCAATTTTTGCTCATCTGTCGTAGTGCTCTTTGTACATGAAAGGCAACTTTTGTACATGTCCTCCCTGTGTTTTTAGTACTGTACCTCTAGCATAGACATGATGCTCTAGGTTAGTCAGACTGGCAGTGCTCCTAGTTCTAAGGTAGGAGAGAGGAAGGCCTGGCAGACAGGAGAGGAGAGATTAGCGGAGGAAGGAAGAAACACTGGTGCAGTTTCTAAGGACATATATTCTGCTAACATCAAGAAACCAAACAGGCTTATTTAGTAAGGTAAAGGAGGGAAGTGCACAGGAAACCAAAACAATCAATCAGAAGCCATCTGTTACTGACTGCATGCTGGCTGCTATGGGCTATTGCAACTTACACATTATTACCATGACTCTTTGTGCTGGGTTGCTGAATACATATGGATAAGTAAAGAAAAAAGCTATGGAGTAGGGAGGATTGCTGGTTAAACATGACATTTTCTATAAATCCCTTGGCCTGGGAAATGTTCTAGTTCAATTATAGATGATGTCTGTAGATGCAGATGTACGGTAAACTATCCATCACACGGTGCTATTTTGCTATAAAAATCTACTACCGAACACGATAGTGTTGTTTATTGGTACCGGCTTCTTTCCACATACAGCATATGTTTATTTATTTAGATATTTGTAACTACAAATTCCTTTCTTATGAAGTATCCTAATCACCAAAACAGTAATTAGCACACCACATAAGAAGGGAATCGCCGATTATATTGCTACATATAACACATTGTATGTATAGCCAAAACATTTTAGGTAGGGATATACTAGATGATACTAGTATAGGTCCCAAGGCCGAGTATTTGGGCGAGTACTCGCCCAAATGCTCCGATGCCTAGCCCGATACTTCCGGTATCAGGAAGCCGGGCCACAAGTCATTACACGCTGCCTGGCTTCCCGATTGGCCGGGAAGTCGGCTGTATGATCCCTCGTCACTTGTGACATGGAAGGATGGAGCCGGCTTCACGGCCAATCAGGAAGCTGGGCAGCATGTAATGACTCTCTGTCTGTCTTCTTGATTGGTCAGAAAGCTGGCCAATCAGGAAGCCGGGAGCCCTGTAATGACGCGACGCCCGGCTTTCGGATTGGCCGGGAAGCCGGCTTCATGTTCCCTCGTCACCTCATGACAAGGGAGCACGGAGCTGGCTTCCCGGCCAATCAGGAAGCCGGGCGCCGCGTCATTACGCGGTGCCCGGCTTCCGGATTGGCCAGAAAGCCAGCTCCATGCTTTCTCGTCACCAAGTGACGAGAAGCATGGGGACGGCTTCCCTGCTAATCGGGAAGCCAGGTGGCGAGTCTTTACGCGCCACCTGACTTCATAATGGGACTTCCGGTATCAGTATTCGGTATCAGCGGGTACCGGAAAAAAAATATCGGTACTTGTACTCGATACCAAAATACCGTTATCGGTGCATCCCTAATTTTAGGTTTTGGATAGATTAAAGGAAAGACTTTAACCACCATCAGTTTATTTTCTGCTATCTATTTAAAGTTTTCAACTAGTAAAGGCATGATAAATAGGAGAGCCCTGAAGCCCATTAGCCACGGCAGCTTTCTATGCAGACACGTTCCCTTTAACACAACATCCCGTTGCACGCCACATTGTAAGAATGGTAATAAAAATTAAACAATTCTTTTACGCACAGCAATGCACAGACATCTTATCTCAAATCATACAAAAGACACAACCCTCATAATAAATGACTCACTTGGCCCAATACATGGCGGGTCCACCGAAGAGCCCATCCATTCCTCTGCAGTGTCTATAGGTGGCTCCTTCTCTTGTTTGCAGTAGTCCGCCATCCATGACTCTTTAGTGTTCACATATTGTTCTAGAAATCACAAAGCAAACAAGAGGTCACTTCTAGAGCCTGCCCTATGACACAACATTGTTAAAGATGAACTACAAGCAGATATAAGAAGAAGCCTAATGTAACTCTGTATTCCTTAATACATCATTTAACCCCTTCATGACTGAGCTTGTTTTTAGTTTCTGTTCGTAAATGACTGACACACTTTTGACATTTTTGCTGTGTGATTCTTCCACGTCAGTAATATACTTTCTTACAAAGTGCACCCACACATATTATATATTGTTTTTTAGAGGACAGATAGGGCTACATATTTATATCACATATGTGCGTCTAACGCCTCACTTAGGACAAATAAAATATACAAAAACAGGAAAAAACCGTTTAAAAAAAACACTTTTTTCCCAGTTTTGATTTGTAGTATTTTTTTTACAAAACCAGCACAGCTAAAAAAATGCAATAAATACATTCATTTATTTGTCCCTTATTTTATTTTATTTTTTACACATTTTTTTATTTTTTTTACACTTTTCACTTTTTTTTTTAACTTAAAAATGTTATTTTATTTATTTAATTATATCAAGCAGATTTTGTGAATTAATCTCACTGTTACTGCATGATAAATTAATACATTTTTGGTTATTATCAGGCTGCTTCAAACTTCAGAACAGCCGATAATAAGTTAGTGACACTGATCCTGCAGCAGTTCAGGATTCAGCTGTTACTAAATGTTTTCTGATTGTTGCAACAACGATCAGCAAACAAACATTCTTCTTCCAGGAATAGATACATTGTAGGAATAGACACATTTTGTATCTATTCATGAAAGAAAAAAAAAAAGCCAGTATAGCTTGAGAGAGATATCTCTCGATCTATACGAGCTGTCAGAATGCCGGCAAAAGCCGGCATCTGTGTCCGCTTTGCTTTGACTCTCAGACACCCGATATTAAGGTATCGGGTGTCTGAAAAAGGTTAACCCTTTCATTAATGAATGCCTCTGTAGTAAGGGCATACATTAATGAATGTTAAAAGCTGATTCTCAGCGATTAACAGCCCTCTAAAGCAGCAAATAACTCGTCACGTACAGTGTACGTCTCCCGTCACGAAGGGGTTAATGTTTTTCCTAAATACAAAGTGTACGTAACTGGCTTTTTGGTAACCAGCCTCTATACAGGAGAGCGCTAAGCAGCTGTGCTGCAGAGCTTATGTGCTAACAAAAGACTTGTTAACAATAGGAGAGGGCAAAGTGACAAATAATGAGCTCATCAGTCTTCTACTTATCTTTTCACTGTCCAGTCACAGGCTGGGAGTAGAACTGGACCAGTAAATGTTAGTGAACTGCAGCAAAGAAAAATCAGGTCTCCTAACCTGTCAGAGAAAGCTATGCTGTGTGGCAGAGCTGTGTAAATCTCAGACATGGATAGTCAGACATACTAATCCTTTGCAAGGTAAAATAACTCCCGCACATGTATTTTATCTGTACATTTAGCTGTTTGCCTGAAGTTCAGTTTTAAATGTATAATCCCCAGAATGTTGAGATAATAGGGAGCAAAGTAAAACATTGCCATTACTCATAGCAACCAATTACTAGCTTAGATACTCCAGCCTGAGTGGTAAAATGAAAACATACTGTAGATTCTTACCATTGCGACAAGCAGCAATAACCAGATACAAACGGAGAGGTAACTGCCCATGAGCTTGCGATTTAGAAGGGTAGGTAATAGGTAAGACAATGAGTGAGCTCTATATAGGGTAATACTATGTGCCTTACTACTATACATTCTCAGGCACTAGTATAGAAATCTCTAGCTTGTGATAGCTACACAAACACAACTTATAGAATGCAATGATTGCTCTTGAGGGGTCAGCTATCAAAATCCATAACCCTTAGACACAATGGTAAGAATCTACCAGACAGTATATTGCACTTGCTCACTCAGTGTACACCGTCATATATGCAAGATACCTATTAACACAGAGGTGATATTTATGTCAAGTCGCTGTTTGGCTTTTAGATCGAACTTCAGGCGTGATGGGTGGAGACGGCTAGCTTCTTGTTTCTGCCAAGATATTGCACAGGGCCATGGCTCTACGAAAGGTTCCCAACCTAAAATGGAAAAAAAATATATATTAATCCCAGATGATTAAGAGGAACCTTACCTAACCTTGAGAGTGCCTAAGGTAACCAGAGTGCTGATATACAGGCACCTTGCGGCACCTGCAAGTACACATTTTGGACTAATACCATTGTCCTTGTAAAACCCCTAAAATCCTAGGCCTAAGCTGTAAACAGTGCTGCAACTTATTTCCAAACTGAGACTTAGTCCCACCCTAGTTAATCAAATGTAAAATACCATAGCATCATCAGGCTTCAGAGATTATGGCAATTGACAGTGTCGAAAGGGCATAGTGTCAAAAGGAGGCAAGACTTAATCTTGAGTTAGAAAGAAGCCAATACCCTGCATTAATCTGAATTTAATACCCTAGTTAGTCTTTAAATTGATCTTTAGAAAACCCCGTAGAGTCCAGGCTGTACCCTGGACTTTAAGGGTTTTTCAAAGATCAATTTAAAGACTAACTAGGGGACTAAATTCAGCACTGTTCATCCTTAGATCCACTTCTAGATCAGGTCAGATCATGTTAAGTTATAAATAGAACCAATCAATCAGATACCTGAAAGCTCACGGTTATAATAGTCTCCAGAGATTGTGAATTCAGCTGATCCATTGGGATTAGACACAAAGTGCTGAAAAAAGACCAAACCTGAAAAAGGACAAATGTGAAGTGTAGGTGAGTAATCAATAAAGCCATGCAGCTCTCAAATTATACAATTTGATTTTTTTACAGCAGCCTTAATCCTATTCACAACAGCTGCTACAGTGCATTTACACAGGTTTTAACAGGAAAAACATTCAAGAAGAAGACTACTATGTAGATGACATCAAGTAGAGTGTAGGATGGGTATGATAGTCTCCTTTGTGCCTGCATCCAATAATGATCAACTTCAAGTGCCAAATGAAAAGTAAGCAGCAGCAGCTGGTAGAATAGGACCTGAACTGTGGTGTTGCAGATCTGAGGACTGTAAAGAAGAAGGTAGTGTATCTAACATCTTAAATTCTCCATTCACCGATCTGCAATATGGGACCTTCTGCTATTGTTTAAAAGAAAACATTTATAAAGTACAGTGGTTCAGAGTCCTAAAGCAAGCAAAGCCCCATTCATTTTAATGAAGAAAAAAAAAAAGTGTGCTGCCAAATGACTTTACCTGGTCATCGGAATTGCTCTCCATCTTCTGTACAGTATTCTGTGCAACGTTATGCAGAGAACACCGTAAAGCCTGGACTCTAATGGGTTTTCCAAAGATCAATTTAAAGACTAACTAGGGTATTAAATTCCGATTAACACCCCACACTGTGACCTACGTTTCATGAACTAAACGAATGATGCAGGCACATTGCGTGGTATTTACTGCGGAAAGCGGAGTACAGTATCTGCTCTGTGTTCTAACTTTGAACAAACATAAATCATATCAACAAATATATTCAGCCACGATTACTTTACTTACGGGAAAACGTGATCTCTGCAAGAGGTACATCGCAGTCCATGCAGTCATCAATGAAACAGATACAGACATGGTCAGCCTTCAGCTCCACTCCAGAGATCCACTGTAGGCTGCCTGCACCGCTACTGGTTTGATTTAGCTTTAAAGGCTCGGCATTCTTAAACAGCCATGTAGCAGCTTTGTTGAGTTGACCTTCAAGGGAAGACATAACCAGAGAGCAAATTATTCTGTCAAAAAGATGTTCAATTGCTGCTACACTGAAGCAATGCATCAAAGGTTACACTGAGCAAGTTACACTGATTTACCTTGAGAAGTCAGCAGAGCCCTTTTACAGTCTTCCAAACCAAATCCAAGCTCCTCCAATCGTGCAAGTTGGTTTTCTGGATCAAAAATAAAAACATGTGAAACAAAGAAAAACACGGGACATCTTTCATGAAGTCACTCTACGTAATTTACATTCATTTTGATCACGTAAGCGTTCACAATACTACAAAGCAAAAATCACATGTTGCTCTCAGCCTGCTTTATGATGCATGTGAGCACCTTATGGCAGTATGCAGCGTTTGTCTCTCTTTAAGGGATCAATTGTTTATAACTTTATAGATCAATGTTTCGTGTATGCATTATACATTTTCTAATAAAGGAGGGATGGGACCACTGTTCTAAATCATTTACTTGAGCTACTGAGCTCTGCAAACAACAGGATTTTTACAGAAATAATCTGAAAGCTATACCTGCTGGCTGCCCAATATTCATATGGATTGTAAGTATGAAGCCAGAAAAATGTTATATTACATTTTGGATTATTTTGACATTCTAAGCAACAAATATTTTTATAGTTTTGTATTTCTCAATCCCCTTTATATCCAATGTAATGCAAAAATAAGATGACAATATAGGGATTCTTTGACTTATAGGATGTGAAGTGAGTGCCTAGCAACCAATTCTGCCTTATCTCATTTTAATTCAAATTAATACAGATACCTTATTTGTTCTTAAAATGTTAAAAGAACCTTCTCCTTCTTACAAATTACACACCAATTTTGTGTCAATCGATATCAACATCATTGTCAACATAGGTAGTTTGCATCCTTTCTCTGAGGTCCTACCTAGAAGGGGGTCCATAGCATGCCTGCGAGTATCTCTGACAGTTACACTCTCATTCTCCTTGATGATACCAGAAGTACTGGCAGAAGAAGCTGACGTGTCAGGAGCTGCAGACTCCGGGGCACTGGGGCTCGTCTGCTCAGGTATGGATTTTGCAATAGCCAGGAATAACTGCACATCATTGTATGACAGTCTAATGTCCAGTGTCTGTAGCTGAATCTATTTAAATAAAATAAATAATTTAGGGTTAAAATTCTGATCAATTCTGAATGGGTGCAGCAGTATTCAAATCTGTTGCAGTATGCAGGTACAGCTTTGCTGTTTTGAGACATTTGGCAGAAGTCCGACCACAAAAATTCAGTTGTTGCATGCAGCATATATAGTAGGAAATCTGGAATTTAGCAGAAGACCTTTAAAATCCTTTAATATGCAAGAGGCAATACATATTTTATGAGCCTGTATGTTGGAGGACTATTCAACCATGGATTTTTAACCTCAAAGAGTTCTCAACAATTCTAACTAACTGCCAAGCAAAGAGCTGCGTGTAGTGTATCAGAATACTCCAAAGTGGTGAAAAGTAACAACTGGTGGGGGATCATGTCAAAATGTAATCAAATTTATACCACCAGGATGGAAATATACCACATGAGTTCACCCATGCAGAGTTGCCCTTTCCCATTGAATGTGCAAGCTACTGAATTTTTTTTTCTTTCTCAAAAAGGTAAAGAAAATCAAAATCACATTTCCGACATTACCTCCAGGATTGGCGGAAAATCCTCAGTGTTAAATGCATCCATCAGACCAGAGCTGTTCTGATAATTTGAATTTCCAACTAGCTCTATCTGAACATGAACCGGATCTATGATTGACAGAGCTGTGGCCTGCTCACTCCCCAAGCGGCAGCTAAATACCTGTCAAAACAAAGAATAATCCTGGGCAGTTATAAAGAGATGTTGATGAGCTTATTAGTGGGTATACTGAAAATAATACCCATGAAATTGGTACAAGTGGTTTAGGAGGCAGTGGAAGCAGAAAGAGTGCAGAAGAGGAGAGAAGTGACAGCCAGATGTACAGGCAATGGGTGCTAATGGACAGATAAGAGATGGGTATGAAGCAGAAGGGTGACTACAATCAGGAGGACCGTGGGGTAAAATAACATGGGGAAGAATGGCAATAAAACAGGGTAGCAGAGATCCTAAAGAGGATAGTGCACTAGCAGAAGATAAGGACTGGAGAAGGAGCCCCAGTGGATGAGCATCCATACATACAGTACATAGGTCAGTAGAGCAGAGGGGGAAGAAGGGGTCGCATGGTAAAATAATTTAGTATCTAGCCAACAGCCAAGAAAGGGGAAGTGGAACACTGAGGAGTAGAGCAGAGAGAAAGCTGCTGCACATTCCCTGAGTGTGTACAGCTAAACAAACCCAATAGTCCTCTACTAAAACAGGAAGTGGCCTTCTTTCTTTATATTAAACATAACAACAAAATAAGATATTAAATGCCTTGGTAAAAAATTTAAAAAAAATCAACTCCAACTAAAGATGTATGGGTGGAAAACTGACAGATATGACACAAGAGAGAGTGATGGAAAAAAAGAGAGAGATAAATATATCTGTATACCTCAATCCCGAATAAACTGCCAGAGAAGGGTCGATCCACCAATTTCGGCTTGTAGGTGAGAACAGTAGTTCCTTTCAAGATGATAGCATTTGTGTCGACACAAGATGCATCTTCAACAACAACAAACTCCGTCCCTAGAGAAAGTCAGAGAAATCAGGATCACAACCAACAACTTTTAAAAATAAATGTTCAAAGCCACAACAGACTGAAATCACTAAAAGATTTTCATCTACGTATTTTCAACAATATATTTTTCTATAGTATCAAAATATGTACAATTAATAAAGACCACATAGGGGCATGAAGGTTTGCATGTTGCTAGCCAGAGAGGACTGAAGACTTGACTTTCACAGTAAACAAGGCTAAACCTGTACAGACTTTAAGAAACTGCTCCCATTTCCACCACTTTCCAAGCTATAGCTTTCCAGCTGCTGCAAATGCCAAAGGCTGGCAGGGTTGGCTGGATTTTGAGGTTTTGCAGCAGATGGTGAAAGGTTTTCTAAGCCTGCCCTGTAATGACCAGAGCTGAAAAGCCCCCACAATGAAAAGTCAAAACACACACAGAGACCTCTCACCAGTAACGTTGATTTTGACTTCAAGCTGTTTTTCTGGAGTCACCTGTACAGATGACCTCTTGGTTACAACACCAGATTTCACAATTTTTGGGACCACAGGCACAGTGGTGCCAGACCTGTCTTCCCAAAGAAGGTGGCCATGATTTAATTTGTCACTTGGTGTCTGTAGAAACTTGTGCACAAGCATTAACCAGTCAAATATCAGAAACACTCTCAGATTGTTCAGGACGACTGTGTAGCAGGAGGTGTCCTTTGTTGATCTAGAGAACAGAGATGTAATGGGAAAAATTAGGAAGCATTAAATACCAAACATGTACAGACCCTGACATTTCTGCATAGCACCTACATAAGAACCATATTCTGATATTTAGCCTAGAACAATCATTGACTTAAAAGATCTACATTGTAATATATGGCCAGGAGATGCTTTGATATTTAAGTAGAACAATTAGATTAAGAACAGGATTTGATAAGGAATGCCTGAAAGAGAACCATTCACTGTTGAATTTGTGAAAGAATCGGAATACTCGATCTTAAAGCTCAACTCCAAACAGATACCGTATTGCCGGCGTATAAGGCGACTCCCTAATTTTCCACTTAAAACATAGGTTTTGGGCTATACTCGTCATATAAGACTACCCCACTTCCGTGGCAACACTATTTAAAAACATCATGGAGGATGTGCGGTAGCTTCAGCTACATACATGAGCCAATCACGGCGAGCAATGTATTCTATTAATGAATACAAAGCCTGCTTGGATTGGCAGCGGTTGTGTACATCGCTCGCTGTGATTTGCTCAGCGCGGTATACTGTATGTAGCCGAAGCTACCGTACATACAGTATTACCGCACATCCAGCGGGCTGACAGATTAGGGATGTTCGTTTTGGGCCAGCTTGGCCCAAACAAACTAAAGGTATACAATGTATACCCTGCGTATAAGACGACCCCCGATTTTCGGGGGATGTTTTTAAGTATAAAAAGTAGTCTTATACGCCAGCAAATACAGTAATAAAGATCATTGTTCAACCATAAACATGTACATAAAAAAACCTTACATGTATTTTTTAAATACAACTAAGTTGTAAAGTAGTCACCGCTCCAAACTCACTCCCGTGATGGACTTAAATCTCATGTTTAGTTTACTAAAATGTATTGGGGTTGTAGTCCATCCCGGGAGTGAGCTTGGAGCAGTGGCTACTTTATAACACACACACATGGACCATGGGGATCAAAAGTAACCACCGTCCAGAAGGAAGGACAGTGTCAGCACCAAATCAGAGATGATTTGAGGGTCTACAGCCGAGTGATACACAAATAAGATACATTTTTGTTAAAAATGAAGGTACTTGAATGCATTTGTAAGATTTAACTCCTGAGTTTAGAGTCACTTTAAGTCTGAATATTCAGATTCTTAAATAAGCCCAATCATAACCGATTTTCTTTAAATTTAGGACGATTGCTTAGATCAGTGGTAGTCAAACTCCAGCTGTGGTGGAACTACAAGTCCCACGAGACATTGCAAGACTCAGGCATGACTCCCAAAGGCAGAGGCATGATAGGATTTTTAGTTTCACCATAGTTGGAGTTTGCCTATCTCTGGCATAGATCATAGCCAGGCTTCAGGAAGTAAGCTAAACTGACCTAGAAGATAAAGAAAACATAACAAAAAATGTACTTATTCTCAGATATTGCTAGGAAAATCCATATTTGTACAGAATTCATTGATTATGAACAGATTATAAATACAGAAAACGGACATGGAAATACTTTGGAGTGCCATCTAGCTACGCCTGCCTTTCTCACCTGTGGTGCAGTTCAATCTGCAGGGAGCCAGGATTGCTGTTGCTCTTGGAAGGTTGCAGGATGCAGTTAAACACATTGGGTTTAGAAGCAGCGGCTGGCTTGTGGCCAACATAACGAGTGTCAAAAGCCATCATAGAATGGGAGACCAGGTTAATGGAATTAGTTTGGTTTGAAAAGCTCTCAAAAAGCAGTTTCGACTTTTTAAAGTCAAACCTAAATGATAACAAAAATAAAAGTACAGGATCAGTACAGCATAATGACTGCTATCCTTAACATGTGAACTCTCACTGACAGTTACTATACAAACAATACTAAATATACTAAACAATACTCCTTTACCAAAAATTCTTACCGAGCCAATGAATGGTTCACCCCTTCCTTTTCTTTGTCCTCAAGAAGCTCCAGGCTAACATTCACCATATCAATGAGGAAAGACACTCCAGTGTAGACCTCTCCACTTAGAACGGTCTGCAGGTGTAAAGAGGAAAGACAGTTAAAAGGCTGAGGAATTGCTTGGCTTTGCTTTAAAAATTATCCTGAACTTGTCATTAAATGGAAGCTTCAATTACTGATCTCTTAAAAATACTACTTGCCTGGCCATCTCTAGCTTCAATACATCTTTAGTCACTGAACCGCTACATGCATGCAGATTAGTGAGGTCAGCTCCTGATCTGCATGTCTGTTCCAGGTCACAGCTGACATTATTATGACATGGAATAATCCTTCAGCCACCAGGAGGCTCTGCGTTCTAGAGGCCGAACACTCTGGAACGGAGACTTTGTGGTGTGAACCGGCCCTCTCTCTTGGCTGTCTCTTCGCTCTCTCCCCTGTTTCTCTCTGCTGTCTCTCTTCTCTCACTTTCTCTGCTGTCTCTCTTCTCTCTGCCGTCTCTTCTCTCTCTCTGCTGTCTCTTCTCTCACTTTCTCTGCTGCCTCTCTTCCCTGCTGTCTCTCTCCTGTCTGTCTTTTCTCACCTCCACTGCAGCAGTTTTCCAGGTCTCATCTCGTGTGCCGGCGTCCTGTCCTCCCGCGGTGCTCGTGTGGCCGAATGTGGCCCATGTTGCACACGGAGAGAGGTGTCCCGCCCCTTCCCGTCTGCGGCATCTGACACATTCAGCCGCACTAGCACCACGGGAGGACAGGACACAGGTCAGTGAGCCGATCGCGATCTACCAGTGTTCACTTTGCGATCGACTAGTAGATTGCAATCAACCTAATAGGCACCACTGCTCTACAGCTTTTCAGAAATAGATTTCATACCAAGTAGAGAGGCTTTTTTTTTTTTTAATTACGTGAATACGTGGATCCTGCAAGTCATACGGTCGCATAAAATCTTCAACAGGTTCCCCCAGATTATTCTCCAGCAGGCCTTTGATTAGTTTATATTTACTTAGATCCAGTGAGCAGTGGACAGATGATAAACTTCCATGAATGGACATATCTGGAACCGAGTGACTTATTTCTCTGGAGAAAAAAATAATAATATATACATTAAATCTAAGAGACTGGACGTTCTCTGACAGCATGCATTAACCCACAGCAAATATCCAAACTTTCATTCTTTAATTGATATTTCCCAGGCTCCATGAGCATATTGAGTCTGGAATGATGATCAGTAGGAAGCCATACATTTGAGCTCCATGCTACTGAAGAAACAGGTCCCTCAACTGTGAGAAGCAATGAAGAAAACAGTTCCTCCTCATTATACTATACATACAAACATGTGAATTGTCCCCTTTGTTCTTCTTTGCTCAGCAAAAAAAGAAGAAGTGCAGAAAAAACAAATCAAAAAAAGCAAAATAAAAGACGTCAGTATTTCTAATGAAAGTGTCCGATGGCTTTTATGAATTTTCACACAGCTTCTGAGGGCATCTACACCGCCAGTGTTGAAAATGCCTTACTGAACCACCCCAAACGGATGTACAAACCTTTTTTGGTTAGTGTCCAACCATGTAATAAAAGGTCAGAAGACGGAATTATGACTGCTAAATCTTCGTTGGATTTGGCAGTCGCACTTTCCTTTTTTTGACTGACATTTCCTTCTTTTGACGAATGCCCCAGTAAGTCACCACGCCAAACAAGCAGCCTTTACAATTTGATTTCAAGACCCAGACCTCAACTCTCAAGTATAAGGCACTTCCAGTAACAATGACAGAGAAACTTATTAAGGCAGAATAGATACTCAGGCATTGTAGAAGCTTTGACACTTCTAGCTCTTCAAATGACATTGATAAAGATTGCAATAGAAAGAGAAGGTGGGCCGTTTGCCTAACCCCATCCAACAACAACTTTCGACAAGTCCATCCTCCTTTGTGAAGTGGCAGGTAGGTGCGCAGCTTTGACCAATTTCACTATACCCTCCAGTTTACTGTGTTTTTTTCTGGCTGCTGTCGAAATACTCGAGCAGGGCCAGCAGCTCAATAGCTGCCGGCTTCTGACAAGCTGATCGAGGGATGCCAGCCAGAGAGCGGCATCCACTGTGCAAATTACGGCCGCTTTCTTGAGAACCGGCTGAATTTTGCAAGCTCTTAATATTGGTAATAATCGGTCACTTTGACCGATAATTGAAAAATCTGTAAATATCAGACCAGATTATCGGTAGATCTGATAATCGGTCGACCCCTACACAAGCCCTTACATTGATGGCTAGCTTCACTGATCAACTAAAGCAGGAGGTGGGAAGGGGTGTACCACAGCTCTGTTTAACATGCCAAAATAGATATTTCCATATTGCGGTGCCCAAGATTGGGAGGCTCCTGCAACACTTTAGAAGGTGGTTGAAGACCTATGCTGGTACCTGTATGTGCCTTAAATTTACAAGATAGCACAGATCGACCCATTCATTTCTCCTCAAAATCATGCATAAGATATTTACAATAAATTGCACCCATAAAAAAATGACACTTACTTATCCAGATTCCTCTCTAGCTGAAGCTTGAGTCGACATCGCTCAGTTAAAAGGCTCCCACCTGTCTGTCTGACAATGTATGATGGGAAGAAGAGGACAGATTGGGATTTCTCCAGGCCTTCAGCACAGTCTCTGGGATCCCTCAGTGCAGCAAAGATGTCCATGTCTTGTAGATCAACCACAATGCAGTCCAATAGGCAGATGTGATCATCTGTAGACAGAAACACACCGTTTTATGTGATTCTAAAATATCTTAAAATGAAACTGTACTGTTGATATAAATCAAAAGATTAATGGAAAAACGCTGAAATACTTTGTCCTGGGAAAATGGTGCTCTGTGCACCTTGCACTACTGCCTACATTTACAAACCTAGACAACTGATCTCTGATGGAGAGAATCGTTAATCTGAATTCTGAGCTTTCACTTCAAAAGCAATCACGTGACCCATCAACTAGGCCTTTAAATGGGGCCAGCACTAAAGAGAACCTGGGGCAGATGTTTTTACAGCAAAATGAAAGTATTTAAGCCCTTCTATTACTGTTTATCTATCCCAACAAGATTGTCGTATGTTAACATTTGATAGATGTCCACTTTAAAGAATAGTGGACTTGAACTTCTGTAAAAAGCTTCATAAACTTAAAACTATAAAAGTTTCAGGAGATTATCAGACAAGCTATTCAAAAGCTAAATTGCATAGTAGGGGAGGAATATTTTCAAACACACAGCCATCTTCCCTTCACAAAATCTCATATAGGAAAGCAGAGAACTGTCAGGCTCCATTCACATATGGCGTTACATATGGTGGATTCTGCGCACTTGGGCCTATTACTATAGCTGCAAATGTGCGGAATCCGTTCAAATAATCTCGCTTGGACTATCTTGTGACACAGTCCATGAACCCATCACACTCAAAACCGCTGTTCCATAGTGTAAAAATAGGTGCTGTGGCTGTCGACAGATGGCAACCGTCTATGATCACAGGAAAATAACAGACACCGGCACTAGAAGTAACAAATCAATGGCGTCTATTTATTGACGCATTAAACATAGCATGATGCATCAAACACAACGTTTCGGGGTCTCACAGGATCCCCTTCAAAATATGTTGTTTTCCTGGACTATCTTGTGGGACGCACGGTTTCGTACCACGTGGACACAGCTATAGTCTGAACAATGCACATTGGAAGGCATTGTTTATGTTTAGCTTGTTTCCGTGTGTACGAAAATGAGCAGAAAACCACTAATGTGTGAATGGTGCCTCAGAAAGCATTAAGTGGATGTGATCTCTCCAATTACTCACCAGGGTCTCCGGAACAGTCTGGAACACTCTCCACTTTTGTCTCTTTCCTAAACTTCGGGGATGAGGCCATGAACAAACCTTCAGCAGAATCGCCTTCCAAACTTGACCGGACTTCACTCCTCCTACTGCTGACTTTGTGCTCTGGGGTAACAATGGGTGATGAAGTTTTACCCAAACTCTAGTTTAAAGAATAAACACAGCCGGACAAACAACATTAGTTAAAGATCATAATACATACGACAACAGCAGTAAAGGCTCAATTCTAAACAACTATGAAATTATAAACTTTGTGCATTCTTCCCCCACAGCTGAGACACAATATATTGCTTACTTGGTCATCTAAAACCTACCTTACCCCTAGAGTGACAACTTTACTCCTCCACAGATACAGTACATTGAGTGAGTGTTGTCACCCTAGGACAGGAAGTATGTTACTGGCAGGGTCACCAGAAGAAGATAAAGTAAAGAAAGAAGAGCCTGAAAAAGAGAAAAACGAATGCAGCCACCACATCTAAGGGCTAATAAATATATTCCATTTTTGATCGTTGGTGTATACACACCTAAAAAACAGCGGCTTAGCATTAGTCAGACACTCTGCATTTTCACAAGCATTTCCCTAACGACCGGTTTAATTAAATGAAATTGTTTGTCAATGTAAGAGGTTATGTACTATGTTACCACTCTATGAGCATGCAATCACTTCCAAAGCCACCACCAATCAAACCATGCAGAATGCAGAATTCAGCAATAACCACAAAGCATAAACATGACTCTACATAGGTATAAATGAGGCCTTGCCTTAAAAGCAAATATGCCTAAATATGATTACATGCTATAGGGACTCTGGTGTGTTGGGGGAAAAAAAATTAGAATTGCACCTGGCCTGTGAATAAACATATTTATGTTTTCTAGTATTTATTCTGCTGGTCAAAGTCAAAGAACCTGCGGGCTTTTTAGCAGCTATGAATTGGAATATGTTACTTGAACTCTATGGAGTGTCTGTAGAGAGGTTTCCTTCCCCAGTAGGTGCCAGGCAGAAGACTGATCACTTTTGCAATTAGGGAAGTTGTTGGTTCTCTACAACGACTGACAAGCTTTGCACTGACCCTATCCTTTAAGGGAAATGACTCATTCTGAACAAAATGTATCGGCTCTTGGAGAAAAAAAACAAAAACTTTGCAATATTTACAGAACAAATCCAGATATAAATCTAAAAGCCTTGTATCAAATGCGGAAGACTATTTCCTCAAAGGAAATTCCCATGGGGGAGGCCACTGCTACCTGCAGACATGATGACGGTTACCTTATCGGGCTGAAATTGGCCACAACAGGTAACAACCTCAACATGTCTAAAACTGGCCATACACCGATAGATTTTCTATGGTCAGATGGAAAAAGTGCAGATTCCTCTATCTACGCTCAACTGTGTGGATGGAGGAATCTCCCACTGGGCCAAGCTTCAGTATCTTGCTAGTCGGCCCCGCTGGCTGTCAAAATACCTGAACAATCTGATTGGATGTAGGCATTGTTCAGGTATTTTGAGAGCCAGCAGGGCCGACTAGCAAGATACTGAAACTTGGCCCAGTGGGAGATTTCTCCCTCCACACAGTTGAGCGTAGATGGAGGAATCTGTTGCACTTTTTCCATCTGACCAAAGAAAATGTGCAGAAAATCTGCAGGTGTATGGTCAACTTTAGAGTAACCATGAAAAAATCAAGCGGTGACAGCCACACAGCTGTATCTACTGGATTCTTACCGGCTCCAATATGCGCAAGTTACCAGTGCCAAGTAAAAGAGAAATACAATCTTGTAATAAAAATAAGGTTGGCAAGATTTCAGTGATTTTTATTATCTGCTCATTATAGAGGTCATCAGTTTTCACAGGGCCCATTGGTTAGATTACTTTAGGCGGAACCGATCTCACAAAGTAAAGATTTGCCATGTTATATGGAAGATCAAGAAATGTTAATTGGACCTAAGCAGTGCCTTGGAAAATGCACCTGTTGTTCAGAATGCCTCCTGAAAAATAGCAGTACACTTTCCAGTGACCGCACCTGGGTGACACCATTGGAGGGGGTGACACCAAAATGACTGAGAGTCATTTTGGTGTCACATCCTCTGAAAAGTCGGCCACTCTGTCATGGACCGGGAGCCCGCCAATTTCAGGAGAAAGGAGGGGACCCGGCGGCATACCTTATCCCGCCGGGTGACTGTCCCTTCGTCTCTCTTGGTAATGGACGCCGGCAGGTATCCATATGATCCCCACGCATGCGCGATTATGTCTTGGCAGGGTGTCATCCGGTAACCGCTCCGGGTGATACCCGGCCTCGGGACGCCCCTGACACTTCCTGGAATGTGAAGCACTCCTGTACCCACAACCTCATAACTGTATACCTGCAGTGTAAATGTTAAGGCTCCGCTGCCCCCGATTGCTAGTCTCTGGAGGTTTGGAGTGAGATTTGACGATTTGACTACTGAGCGCTCACTATTCTCTTTAGTGGAGGCTCTGACATGAGAGAGCAAAGCCACGTCTCTACCAATATGGCCACCTCCAGAGATACGGTGCAGAACAAGGCATGATGAGTGGGTAAAGATTAACTGCGGGGAGTCCACAGGCAATACTGCTAATCAGACCTATTTCCTCTCCCTGAGTTTTTTTTTTTAAAAAAACACGGCTTCCAGAGTTCTGTTCCTCTTTTAAACAAACAGAAAATCACAAAACAAGGAGACACTTAAATCAGCAGCAATCATATGTTTGTAAAGAAAACATATGAGGATTGGAATTATGAAAGAAGCACTCTTTGTAGAGATAACACTGCAGTCAGCTCTTATGGAATTTCAGGAAATGTTAATTTCAATGTATGAAGTCGCCTTTTTCGTTTTAGTATAAGGCTAGTAATTTAGTCTGATAAATATTCCACAGCACACATGACACATAAATAAGCAAATTATAGAACTGTCCTGTTCAATCCATTAATTCCATAAGCTCCAGAGAGACACTTGGGGAAACTTTCACCTGAAAGCTATACCTGTAATGAAACTGGATCCTTGTAGGAAGACCCATGTAAAATTAAGTCCTTCAGAGCAAATAAAAACAAAGTTTCATTTTATTGTACGTAGGTTATTGTACATAGTTATCGCTGGCTTCATGCCAGTGATAACCAACATGTATGACAGGAATCAGAAATACTGCAGAGTGACCAGATACCGTGTGGGCTTATGACAAGACAAAATAAATGAAGCAGTAAGTAATAATCGATTAAGGGAGAGTATAGAGGTTTTGTACATGTGTTCTTTATAATCAGGGCTAAAGAAAAAAAATATTATATAACATTTAAAAATATAGGTAAAGTAAGATAAGTGTGAAAAATTGCATTTTTAAAGGACAAGCATCCTTTAAATATCCACCAACTGCAGTCAGTCTGGTAAAACACACTACCTACCTTCCTGATCTTCATTGTGCCTGACCTTTGCAAAGAAAACGTCCCAGTCACATCCTATTAAAGCACAAACAAAGGCCCCATTCATTCCTTTGAATGAGCCGTACTCCAATGAATGGCTGGAGGCAACCATGTGTGACACATCTAAAGAAATGAATGAGGCCGTGGCTCATTCTTATTTGCAAAGGTGAAGACTGCTGGAGAGGGAATAAAGGTGAGTATTTTACCAGGTAGGCTGCACTCAGGAGGAGGGGGGGGGTGGAGTGTTTACTTAAAAGACAACTGTTCTAAGAGTAGTCATCTTTTATTTATAACTGCATTTACTATATTAATTTTCTTTCTCTTTTTATCTAGCAAGTGGAACCACCTGCTGCAAAATGCCTTTTGTCTACAGAGTTAAAGTGGAAGTAAATATGCCGGTAAAAACGATTGCCAATCAGCAAGCTTGATGTGACTGTGCAAGTCTCTTCTGCCATAAAAGCTTCTTGCTCCCATCAAGCATTCTTTTCTCTGTACACAGAGACCTGGCATGCCGAGATGAAGTAACCCCCGTGCGCATGCGTGGCAGTTAAATGAAGTGGGCAAAGTCTTAAATCCCATAAGAAGACCGGGAGGCAGATGGAAGTGCCAGCAAGGGAGGAGCGCAGCACTGGAGGTTTGGCAGGTACGTCTGCCATAATGTGCGACTATGCCGTGCATACTAGAACCTTATGGCTGAAAGCTCCAGGACCCCCTTCTGTTTTTTTTAAATAAAATGTACTTTACTTCCACTTTAAAAGGCTGAAGGAGAATATTTACACAAGTGAATAAGCCAGAGCAGTGAGTGCAACCAGACAATGCCAGTTTTAAGGCAGGCAGCTTCTGCTTTGCTGGCTCTTTAGAAAACCCAAAGTCCTGGGGGAACCATTTGTTATGTATTAAACATTTATTTAAAAAAAAAAAAAAAAA